TTCTGAAGGACTCCTACAACTCCTGGACCTCATTTCCCAGATTTTGAGTCATCCAATGAGGCTCCTGTCCCTGCTGTGGGAAAGAGGGTGTGAGAAGCCAAGCTGAGCCTGCAGCACCAAGTCCTGGGATCAGTCCTGGAAAACCAAGAAGCAGCTCAGATTAGGAGAGAGTTCTCCATGACCTTGTCCAGCTCCTCTGCCTTCGGGGGTCCCGACCCTGCATGTCCTAACCACGTCCAGCTTGCTACGAGTTCTTATTTGATGGGTTTCACACACCTCCTGTTGCCTGAAGTCTTCCTTTCTCAACTGTTTTTCTGGTTCATTTCCAATTCTGAAGACCTCGCTCAAGGTTACTTCTCTTCCTCCGCCCTGCAGCAGGTGGGGCTTCCCAGCTCCCCGCCAGGGCATCCATTAAAGTTCACACCACAGTTCCAGGTACTCGTCTTTAACTTACTTAGTGAACCATGAGTTACTGAAGACAGGGCCCTGACCTACACCCCAGTCTAGCGCAGGCATACTCCCTCTTCCCAGTGGACTCGGAATCACAGTTAACAGCTCATCTCTCAATAGGGCAGCTTAGTGCTTCCCAACTTAATTACCTATGGGACTTAACATCATGGTTTGAGGGCATTTCTGGGGTCTTTTACCCGCCTTGCTGAGATGACCAGGACTGAACCAACAGCTTTAAAGAGAGTAACTGCTCTATCTTCTTGTGTGAAGATGAAACACATTTGGAAGGAATCCTGCACATCAGATTGAATTATTTTGTTCCTTTCATTAATATTTTTGTTGTATCTGAGCACGCATTTCTTTGCACTTTGGGGATTTAAACTTTTGTGACATTCATTCAAAGCCTGGTTGTGACCAGCCTGCTTCTCTTATCCTGGCTGAATTTCACCTTTCTAAAAGCAGAACAAGTTGGACAGAGGAGGAAAATATTAATTGGCTAGATAATGTTGGAGAAGGTAGACACTTTAGGGTCTCGTGTAAGGCACACAACTGAACCGGCCAATGGGAAGGCAAGGTCTGGAATATAGGTCCCCTTGATCTTGGCCTGGAGTCTACCCACACCCGTGAGATGCTTCTCTCTCTCTCTCTCTCTCTCTCTCTCTCTCTCTCTCTCTCTCTCTCTCTCCACTTAAGTGTACCAACTAAGCAGTAATGCTAAGGTGAGCATCTACTGAAGCATCCATTTAAGAGGTGCAGAGGTGGTTACTGGCATGTGGCAAATCTGTAGAATTCACTTATCAAATGAGTCAGACACACAGTCAATGGCTTCTTTCAATTCTGGCATTAAATATAGGAAATATTATACAGCGACCCACATGCAAATATTTGAAGTGATGCTTTTTAGCTCGCAATGTTTTCCTTGCACCTTCTAATCAGCCAACCAGAAGAGGGTGGAAACAGCACGAGAGGCTTTTACATTGGGGTATCAGAAGTTTCCAGGCTTCATCAGAGGATCTTGTCCGACATCAGTCCTTTCCCAGCTGACACGGAAGGTTCTGCTCCTAAAGGACACACCTAAGTAGAGATCATGGCTTAGACCTTTTTGGCCTCTGGTAGTAGATTGACCAAACACTGGTCCAAAATAACACTCCACAAGCCTTCTCATTTAGAGTCAAGAAGTTGGTCTGGACACAGATGCTGAGTGAGAATTACTCCACAAATAAAATGCCCCCTTAGGAGTCCCAGGTGCCCTCTTGTTGGCACTGAGTGCCACAGCTTGCACGATGTGCCCAGAGCCTCACCCCTAAGACAGCCCAAGGGACACACACCCCAGTTTCATCTCCTGGCTCCAGACCCTAAATAAGTGGCTCTGTCTGTCTTGAAATCCCTTCCCCACCTTTGTCTGTCACTTTCCACCTGAACCTCACCTTGAAGGATCTCTTAGAAAGAATGTCCTTGATGACCACTAATTCCCCAAGGGCCTTGCACCAGCCCTTTCATTCTAGGACTCTGCACATTGCATGGTGGCCACACGTCAACTTCACCCCAAACCTTGGTCTCTTCAGGGCAGGAATTTCCAAATTCTCCTTGGGAAGCCATTGGAACTGGCTCCAGCAGCCACTTTGGGGCAGTCTCCCACCCTTGGGAGCCAGGGCCGAGGAGGTTATCCAGAGCAAACACTAGACTAAGGGTGAATGAATGCCAATCACACCTGGAAGGCCACCACGGCCGTGGCCAGGCCAGAGGACAGCATCCGTGTTGGCTCCCAAGAAGGAATGTGCGTGCTGGGGGACAAGATGAGGACGGGTGGACCAGAACAAGATGATGATGAAGGACAGGTAGCACAGTGAGTGAAGTGAGATGAGGTGGAAAGGCCTGGGACAGAAGTGGGGAGTGGTAAAGAAGGGGGCCAGGTGCAGGGCTTTTAGGTTGCCTGGTGCCGGTCATGGGCAAATGGGAAAGTTGGCCTCTGTAAAGGAACAGGGATGGACTGGAGACTGTTCCTTTCCACGTGCTGGTACCTGGCACACTGCCTAAAACAAAGCAGATATTTGATGAGAGTTTACTAAATAAATGAGTCAATCAATTGAAGAGTTGACCTCCATATTCCAACAGGAATCTCTTCCTCACTTACTCGGTAAGATGTGCTCTGCAGCAGTTCCTATAGACTCCTACTTTACAAAATGTAGTGGTTCTCATAGAGGGCCTTGTTTATAAGTTATGCACCTGCGATTCTGCTCCATTGGATTCTAGCCTCATGGAAGCAGCCATGGCGTCCAGCAGAGAGCAGAGCACTATCTCCCGCTCGATGTTCCATAGATGTCTCTGGAGTTCAGTAATATTGAATTGAAAGGAATCAGCTTAGTGGTCCACAAGAAAAATATAGTCTTAGATCAAAGGCCAAAAACAGAGACATAAAAACAAATGAGTTGACTAAGCACATGAAATGATGCTCAAAATCATTGATCATTAGGAAATGCAAATCAAAACTTCAGTTAGGTAAGACTTCACATCAGTTAGGATGGCAATTATTTTAAAAGGCAGAAAATAACACTTATTAGCATGGATGTACAAAAACAAGAGTACTATGTATTGCTTAAGGGGATGTAAAATGGCACAGATACTACAGAAAACAGTATAGAGATGTATCAAAAAAAATTAAACTAAAATTACCACAGGACCCAGAAATTACTCTTCATGTCTATACCAAGAAAAAGTAAAAACAGATATTTGAACAGACATGTGTACGTCTGTGTTCAGAACAACATTATTCACAAGTGTCAAAATGTGGAGGTGACCTAGATGTCTATCAATGGTCAAAGGAATATAGGAAATGTGATTTTATATATATATATATATATATATATATATATATATATATATATATATAGAGAGAGAGAGAGAGAGAGAGAGAGAGAGAGAGAGGGAGAGAGATGCATAATGAAATACTACTCAGACATAAAAAATAACAAAATCCTGTCACTTGAAGCAACATAAATGAAATGGAGATCATTGTGTTACATGAAATAAGCCAGACACAGGAGCACAAATACCACATGATCACACTCACATGTGGAATCTAGAAAAGTTGATCTCATAGATATTAAAAATAAAATGACTACCAGAGACCTGGGAGAGGAGAGAAAGGGCATAAGGAAATATTGATGAAAGGCTACTAAGTTAGGAGCAAGAGGTTCTGGGGAGTCAGCGCACAGTTGGTGACTACAGGTAACAGGAATGTACTGCACATTTCAGAAAGCCACAGGAAAGGATTTTGAAGGTTTTCACCATAGAGAAATGATAAATGTCTAAGGAGATAACTAGTTCCACCTTATTTGAATATTATGCAATGTATATATGTACCAAAACATAACTCAGTCTTCCATTAATGTGTACATTGCTTGCATTTTGTGAATCAGTTAAAAATTAAAGAGAAAGGACATTCTCACACGTGCTACTACATAAATCTTAAGGATTTCATGCCACATAAAATTAGCCAGTCACAAAAGAACATATGCTATGTGATCCCCTGTACAAGGAAGCTAGACGAGTCATATTCATAGAGTCAGAAAGCAGAACAGTGGTTGTCCAGGACCCAGGGTAGGAGGGAATCAGAATTATTGTTTGGTGGTACAGAGTTTCAGCTGAGAAAGAGAGAAAATTCTGGAGACGGAGATGATGGCTGCATAATAATATCAGTATTATTAATGCCATACATACAGCCATACACTGATGAAAGATATGAATATTACCATAATAAAAATCTCTCATCAGCAAAATTTTTAAAAATTGAAAAATCAGACTGAATTTACTAGAGATTTACCATTTAGAACATTTTCCCTCTTTAACACTTTTATATGAAAAAAAAATGGCTAATGACCACCCAAATACACACACACACACACACACACACACACACACACACCCTTCAGTAAAACTTCTTCAGAGATGGAGAGAAGGCAGAGAAAGTTTTTACCAGACACTTGCCCCCTCCAGGGTGCCACACCTATGACCACTTCACTATGGCAGGGGACACCCACCGCAGCTGCGGGACCCAAGTCCCAGATGCAGATCTACCCAGGAGCTCAGAGGAGGTCTGAGCTTGTGATCAGGGGGCTTAGTGAGGAGGTGGACCAGGGCGCAGAGTGTGAGGCTGGAAGCTTGGGGATATACTTCAAGGTATAATTCAGGTTCCACCTTGTTACAAACGCTCCCCCTCATTCTTCAAGTGATCACAGATTTTCTCCCTCTCGATGGATCTTGGAAGTCTTCAGAATGAAGGTTTACGTAATATAATCTCCAGAGATTTTTCCAAGTTCTTGCCGTTTTATCCTTGGTTAGACTGTGAGCCCCTAATCCAGGTGACTGCCCTTCCCTTGGCACCAAGCCACTCACATTGCCAGCACTGAGATAAGTGATGGAAATGCTTCAACAACAGGTTGGTGTTGTTCTTTCCTGGGGATGGGGGAAGAGAGGGAGAGACACAACCTTCCGCAATAGCATCCCTGTGTAGCAGGACTTGGTACATACTTTTAATTCTCAATAAGTACCTTTGAAGCGACCATCTGAAAGCAAGTAGCATCTCCTCTGAATATCATGTTTGTGCCCATTGTCCAACCTGGAGGGGGAAAAAAAAAAAGGATCTACTTACAGGGTACAATATAATTGGACACATGTATGCAATGTATAATGACCAAATCAGGGTAATTAGCATTTACACCTCCTAAGCATTTCTAGTTGTTGAGAAACTTTGAACTCTTCTACTTATTTTTTAAAATATGCTATGTTTCTGCAGACTATATTTGCCCTACTGTTACAGAGGTTATAGAACACTAGCACTAATTATTTTGGAACTATTGTCTCATCTTTCTGCCTTATCCTCTCCTCTACCCTTCCTACCCTCTAGTCCCACTATCCTAATGTCTTTATCAATAAGACCAACTTTTTTTTAAAACTGATGCAGCAATGAGTGGAAACATGTGGTACTTTCCTTCTTTTCCTTCTGGCTTGTCTATCTCAGCATGATGCCCTCTAGTCCCATCCATGTTGTCTCAAGTGACCGGATTCAATTCTTTCTTTTCTTTTTAGCTGAATAACATTCCACTGTGTGTATAGACCACATTTCCTGTATCCATTCATCTACTGATGGATACATTACAAACCCCAGCCTTGTCATTAGAGGTCATTCCTGGATTCCTCCTCGGGTCAGAATTGTAGAGGACTTTGGTGCAATTAGCCAGCAGTCTCCTTTTCCAGAAAGAAAAACTGAGTCCAGAAAAGGATGGTAGTTTGCCCAAGGTCAACAAGGAGCTGAAGGCAGCTCTGGAACTGGAACCTAACCCTTAACCATGGGGTGTGGACGGGCAAACTAGTCAGAGATCTTATAACAGTACCTTTAAATCTTCTCTCTATGATATAGAAAGAAGTTCTCAATGAGCAATTATTGCATTGGAGTAGTGCAGATTGACAGAGCTGCATAGAATCTTCTAAAATCCTGACAATTAGAGAAAAAACAAACCGGTGTTCCAATGCACAGAGGGTAGAAAGTTGCAGGAAGAATTCAAAGTGAGGATGAAGATCTCCTTGAAACCTAGACATTCTCCACATTTCGTTGTACTTTTAGATAAATAAACCAACAACCCCTGCACTTTCAGAGAAGGGCAGACCCTTTTTAGCATGAAGCGATAATTTTGTTCTTTGTTCTAAAAATGTGTTTCTCATTCCAGTAACTTTTGTTTAGAGCACCTATGAGTTGTCAGATGTTGCGATCAGCCAGGAGGACCCAGAGGTAAACTGGTAAAGGCCCCTTCCGTGGAGGAGTGCTGGAGACAGCAGATAGACACACGATTGTAACAAACCAGGGTGACGCAAGACGCGTGTCATAAGATGCCTCAAACAGCTTTAGACAGAGGAGCTGATCAAAAATGCCTGCTGAGTGAACTAACTAATCAACCGGATTTTGAGGAATTTAGAGAAGGGTTTTTAGGAAAATTGACTGTAAGCTGGGTTTTCATTCATTGATTCAATGTGGTCATTCGTTATCAGGATGTTGAGCACACAGTTTGGTACGAGGCACCATGATGAGCTCAGTAAACAGAATACTGCAGCAGGGTTCTTGAGCTGGGTCATGACAGAACTATGTGGCAGGTAGCGTTTTATCCTATATAGTTTTATTCTACTCTCTGTACGTGCCAG